CCACAGCATGAAGCGCCGCATGCCGAAGCTCCTCAAGCTCATGATCCGCAGCCGCAAGTTGGACAGCGTTGACCCATGCGGAAAAGACAGCTGGCTGGACCAGCATCACACGTGAGCCGACGATCTCGATACAGCCTCGCGCAGTCTCCGGGGCGTTGCGCATTCGGATGGCCAGCCGTGCGTCTTGTCGCCAGACAGCCCTGGCAAGCTGTCGGGCAAACATCCGCTGCGCCTCAAGAGAACCAGGATCGTCGACCAACAGCTGATTAAGCGAGTCGAGAGCCGCCACATTGACTAACTCCTTATAGCGTTCCATCTGACGCGGCGGTGAAAGCAAACAAAAGGTGTGCTGTTCGTAATCGAGAAGACGCCCGAGTCGTTCGCAGAAACCAACGGACTTGTAGATGGCTGGGGGCGCCGTTTTGATGTACTTCTTGCGCTGCCGCCTGTTGGACAGGGTAACTCTAACGGCAGCGTGATCAGAGACATCTCGATCGGAAAGTTCTTCAGGTGTGGAGACAACCGCAGCAGAGTGTTGCATTTGACAGGCAACCCAACCAGGTTCAGATACCCATGCGCGATCGATCTGCGCCACCGTCTTGGGGTCCCTGCAGTAATGAGTGGGGTCCTCTGATGCAACTTCGACAAACGACGCAAGCGCTGATAGCCAAAGCTGCATATGTGTTCTCGCATTGTTGGTATCTCGAAGATCTCGCGCTTGAGCAGGATCAGCAAGGTCCAAGGCCTCGTGCGTCGATAAGTTGAAGCCCCCACAAATCACTACCATCCTTTTGGACGGGGCCGCCGCAGCCCAAGAATAGTCTTCTTGGATACTCCGCGTAACTTGTAGCACATCACCACGCTCGAGGCCGTGATTGTGAACATTGTAGTGCCGAAGCTCAACATGTCCACGACGAAGAACCAGTCGCAATACTCTACCAGGAATTAGATCCAGCGGATCAGCAACGACATCAACACCCTGCGCCAGTGGGACGACTGTCGCCACACCACCTCGCCGGTGGCCGTCACGTGCCGCCTCAAATGAACCGAAGACCGAAGACGAAGGTGCAATCCGCGACATGACGAACTTGAACTCCGCCAAGGTTTGGTGCACCTCCTGGATGGCGAAGATGGCATTCGTGATCCCAGCTTGATGAAGGTATGTGGCCTTCGCCATGGCTTGAACACCACGCCACCGCAAGAACGCCCTGGCTTTCCATGTACATAATGCGATTTGTGCTGTCTTCGGCGACTGCCCACCTTCCACCTTCGAGAGGAAAAGTACATCATAGTGACTAAAGACCCCATTCAGGCTCGCCGTTGGGGACGATGATGTGGTTGATGGCCGACTTGATCTCGTCTCTGGTCCAACCTCTCGTGGCGAGGGCGGTATCATTCCAATAACACTTGGTCGCCTCCTGCCCTGGCTGTGGGTCGAGCCGAAGAATCGGATTCCAGCTTTCAGAGATCCATCCATTCTGGCGATCAAAGAACAGCTTGGCGTCAAGGTACTTCTCCCGCAAAATGGCCGTGATCTGCTTCCCTGCAATCTCGCGCTTGCTCTGGAACGGGTTCTTGTCGGCACCAACGTGCAGCTGTGTGGACCCCCCTGATGCAGCTGGGACGGGGAAGCGCATCCAGTTACCCTTGCCAGGAAGACGAAGCGCTCCGAGCGCTTGACCAGCACGCCGACCTGCAATGGCGACAGGGCCTGTGAACTGCAAGGTAAACAGGCGATCTTGTTCTTCTCCCTGAACTTCCCATCCGTCAATCTTTGGCTTGTCGAGCCAGGCCTTGATGGAGTCGTGAACATCCGCGCGCTTGACCATAGTGGATGCCACAATCTTGAGCACCGTCGCATCCACTCCCCTCTGAAATCCAATAGCATGCGGCTTTGGAGGCGGTGGAACACGATGTGCGAGTGCCAGGGCTTGCTGAAGTTCGTCCATTTGCTTGCGCATGTCCCCGGGCTCGTCATGCATCTTGTCTGTGCGCGAGTCCAGACTGGTAACCCTGGCACTGAGTCCGCCCAACTGCGTCTGAAATCTACGCCCCATCGCAGCCAGCTCAGGACGAAGCGAGGCCTCCACCTTCTGCTGGCAGGTGGCGGGAACGCTCTTGACGGCGTCCTCCACAGCGCGGATCGCGGCCATGACGGGATCGACGGCCTGCGAGGCTGCTGAAGATGCTGTCGAGGCAACCATTCCAGTGATCTCATTCTTGAAGGAGACGGACGTGCTGCGGAGGTGGCCATCGATGAGGCCCTTGACGTGGTCGTCCCAACCGCTGGGGTCCATGTCAGGATCCTCTTCTTCATCAGAGCCACATCTGCTGGAACGGGACCGCTCTTCGGCGCGGCCATCACGAGCCTCAGCGCCGTCATCAGCAGGGCGAGCCACACTGCTCCGAGCATCACTAGGGAGTTTCTTCTTCCTTCGCCGCCCTCCAGAGGCTGAGGGCGCCATGAGCCGCGGGCGCGGTGCGCGGGCGCAGGGGCGGCGCGCGTGGTGGAAACTGGCCGCGGACTAGCGGTATCCATGCCCTGCTTGCGCAAAGCAGACATCTTGAGCCAAAATGGCTACGGAAGGAGGAGGAGGAGGAGGAGGAGGAGGAGGAGGAGGAGGAGGAGGAGGAGGAGGAGGAGGAGGAGGAAGCACGCCACAGGGAACCCTAGGTTGGTCTAGCGTGCGAAGGAGGAGGAAGATGAGGAGGAGGAGGGGATGGAGGAGGCGGAGGAGGAGGAGGAGGAGGAGGAGGAGGATCGGGAGGAAAAGGGGGAGGACGATGAGGAGGAGGAGGAGAGGAGGAGCAGCAGGGGGTGGAGGAGGAGAGGAAGAGGAGGATGAGGGAGAATGCCACAGGGTAACTTTAGGTTGGTCTCACGTAAACAAGAGGAGAAGGAGGAGGAGGAGGAGGAGGAGGAGAAAGAACGCCACAGGGTAACCTCAGGTTGGTCTGACGTAGCAAGGAGGAGGAGGAGGAGGAGGAACGCCACATGGTAACAATAGGTTGGTCTAGCGTAAACAAGAAGGAGGAGGAATACCGCCACAAGGTAACCTTAGGTTGGTCGGACGTACAAAGGAGAAGAGGAAGGAGGAAGAGGAGGAGGAGGAGGAGAAGGAATAATAACGCCACTGGGTAACCTTAGGTTGGTCGAGCGTAGAGGAAAGAGGAGGAATGATGAGGAGGAAGGAGGAAGAGGAGGAAGAGGAGGAGGAGGAGGAAGAGGAGGAGGAGGAGGAAAAGGATGAAAAGAAGGAGGAACGCCACAGGGTAACCGTAGGTTGGTCTAACGTAAGGAGGAGGAGGAGGAAAAGGAGGAGGAGGAGGAGGAGACGGATGAGGAGAAGGAGGAATAATGCCACAGGATAATTTTAGGTTGGTCACACAAAACAAGAGGAGACGGAGAAGGAGGGGGAGGATGAGGAAGAACGCCACAGGGTGACCTTGGGTTTGTTTAATGTAAGAAGGAAGAGGAATAATAATAACGCCACAAGGTAACCTTAGGTTGGACTAGCGTACAAAGGAGGTGGAGGAGAAGGATGAGGAGGGGAGGAGGAGGAGGAGGAGGAGGAAAAACGCCAAAGGGTAACCTTAGGTTGGTCTACCGAAAAAAAAAGGGGGAGGAGGAGGAGGAGGAAGAGGAGGAACGCCACAAGGTAATCTTGGGTTGGTCTAACGGAAAAAGGAGGAGGAAGAACGCCACAGGGTAACCTTAGGTTGGTCTGTTGCAGAAAGGAGGAGGAGAAAAAAGAGGAGGAGGAAGAAGAACGCCACAGGGTAACCTTAGGTTGGCCTAGCGTTAAAAGGGAAAGGAGAAGGAGGAAGAGGAACGCCACAGGGTAACTTTAGGTTGGTCTAGCGTGAAAAAGAGGAGGGGGAAGAACGGCACAGGGTAACCTTAGGTTGGTCAAACGTAGAAAGGAGGAAGAGGAGGAGGAGGAGGAGGAGGAGGAGGAGGAGGAGGCGAGAAAACCACTCAGGAAACAGCGAGAGCTTCCGAATAACCTTGGGGAACTCATCGGCCCGAGGGGGCCTGGCGGCGGGTGTGGCCCGCCCGGATGGACACGACGCTCTCGCCGGGCAGACCGCGCACGTCCGAGATCAGCACCTCCATCGCGGCAGCGGCCCGCTGCGCGGTCGGCGCCCCCGCGGGGTGGGGGGAGGGCGGCGCCCGCGCCGTCGCGGCCTGGGACCTGCACGAACTGCGCCTGCCTCTGCGCACGAATGCCTGGAGGCTACACCCCCGCCTCCACAGAGATCCGAGCTCGGAACGGCCGGTATTTAGTCATTTCCTGCCTCCGTGGGCCCCGGGACCGTCGACCAGCGACTCAGGATGGAAAGCCGGCCCTAATTGGGAAAATTGTCCAGACCTCTGGGGGTCCACGCATCGAAAAATTGGAGAGCCGGATGTATGGGGAGATGACAGGTGGGTGGACGTGCGGGTGCAGCGATCACATACGATAAAATACCGCACTGTAAGAAACATAGAAGCACATCCTCCGTCGACTCTGAGCTTCGTGAGGTGCCTCAGGGTTCTGCGTGCCCATCGGGAGATGAGAAAGTCTAGTTGGGCACCCTATGACAGGCGGGTAAAATATGTGGAGCGTAGAGATGACAGCAAGATGGGTAAACGTGCGGGTATGCCAATGCAGAGTGTGATATTCTCACATCCTGGACCACTTCACCAGGATAATGTTCTTGTCCTGGGTCGTCTTCTGACGGTTCCGGGGCCCGGCACGGAGGCCGAAAATAGTTCAAAACTGCTCGTCGTGACTTTTTCACAGCACGAGGAGGTGACGTGGGGGTGAGCGGGTGGATGAAGGGACGGACGGATGGATGCATGCACGGATGGGCGGCTGTGTGGGTCGGTTGGCGGACCCACACGGGTGGACGGGGAAAGAGAGATAGAGAGAGAGGGACACACGGACAGAACAAAAGAGCCGATGAAAGCAGGCATGTGAACATGTTCATCCAGACATACTCTGAGGAGTAAGCTCCTTCGACTTCTCGTACAAGCCCAACTTCAGGTACACGTTGGATGTGTTATCCTGCATTGCCAAGTAGCCGTGGCCCACACCTGTACTCATGCTGTGAAACTTCAATCCTGTTGCTGCTGTGAACACCGGCGCACGTTAACGTACTCCTCTCTCCGCGTACTCTCGGTCTGCTGTCCTTCTCCCTGCTGATTCTTCTCATGCATTGCAAGGTGGGCTCTGCGGCCTACACTGCCTGCGGAGGGTATTACGGGATGTCGACGGCACCACGCCACTGTGCTCTGATTCAGAACTGTATGGTGCATGCACTTGTCGCAAAAAGGTTCCACACATTAGATCACTGTGCTGCGGAAGGCTTGGTCACAGGTGATTTGACGGGTAATGCAAATAATCTCTGAGTTCTATGGGGCAACACCAGCACCAACAAGGTCAAGCATCACGCCCGCTGTGCCACTCAAGTAAATCGACTTCGCGCAAACACCCCAAGGATTGCACCTGCCCGCGAGCAGTCTTCGGGAATGTCTGAAAGGAGCTCCTCAATGAGGAAGGGGATGCTGCTTTCGCGCTGCGTGGGTGGTGCCGGATGGTGCTGATGGATGTGGATTTCGTCGCTTGCGTGCGCATCTACGATCTACGCTTGGTGCAGTCCTTTCGTTTGGTTGTTGTCGATTTGGCAGTTCGGCTGCAGAGCTGGCTGGACACAGCGCCAGACACGAGTCGCAGAGCTGCTTGCATGTCGAGGTGTCCAGCATCTGCAACTTTCTCATCACCCAAGCCTGCGGGTGCAGAAGAAGAGAAAGCTGCATACACCTTGACCTTCCCAGACATCCGGCTGCTCCAATTTTTGTTGGTACGCCGACGGCCGCTGGCCGGCGCGTTTTCGCAATTCCAGGCTGAAGATTTTCGGGCGTGTTTGGCCTTGTGGGTACTCGTCGCCCCATGGCTGGATCCGCCTCGAAATCCTGGCCGGAACGCACCCCAGGATAGGTCAGGGGGCTGATTCTTCAGAGGAGGAGGGAAGCATAATGAGGAGGACTTCCCTGAGATCCTGGCGTTGCAATTTTTCCACGCAGGGCGTTTTCGCCCGTGTTCCGGCCTCAGGACCCTCACAGATCGTTCCGGCTCGAAAAATATGGGCAGTGCGATGTTTCACGGTGTTGCAATGTTTTCGCTGCGTCGGATCTTGGGGGTGACCGTCTTAACAGGAGTAGAGCTGCGGCACAAACACAGACTTTGGGAGGCCCGTGCAGATCTGCAGCAGGCACATGCGGTAAGACATCTTGATGCCAGGTATCTCTGGGCACATGTTTTATCGGTCCCTGCGGGTCCTGAGGTGCCCCGGGGCTCCTGCAAATCCCTGGGGCCGTCGTGGGACAGCAGAGCTTCCCTGGGGCACCCGCTGGCAGGCTGGCTCCTTACCTCGATGTGCTCACTGCACTGGTTCGGAGCTGGCTGTAACACCCTCCCCCCAGCCCGCGACGCGCGCTAGGGGGCGGCGCGGAGGCGCCGCCAGGAGGCGGAGGCCCGCGCCGACCCAGGCGGTCCGCGCGGGCCTTTGGAGCCTCGTGCGCCTGCTCCTGTGCGAGGCTGCGGCTTCCGAACCGCACCCCCGCCACCCAGCGATTCTCCGGAATCGGTGGGAGGCGGGGGCAGGGGCCGGATTTCGCCACGATCTCCACGGATTCCGAACCCTGCCCCCGCCGCCTATCGAGTTGCTGGTCGGCTGGGGTAGGGCTCGGATTTCGCCGCCGATGCACGAGGTCTGTTGCTCTTCGGGGCCGGGTCGCCCCGATTCCCTCGGGTCGGCGGCGCCTCGAGGGCGAAACGCGGAGGGGGGCGCGACTTCTTGGAAGGCTCGGAGGGCCAGAGGGCTTCTCAGGAGCCCCGCCGCCTTCTGAAAAAAGCCTGCCCCTTCCCGCTTCACCCCCAAGCATCCGGCGCTCCAATTTCTTCGATGCGCGGAACCCCAGAAATCCGGACAACTTCGCTAGAAACGGGTTTTAACTCCGAGCTGTTATTTGACTGTCCCGGGGACCGTTGAGGCCCTCGAAAGCTGAAAATAGCCGAACCCCAACCGCTCCATTTTCTTGTCGGACCCTTTGGCGGGCCGCCGAAGAGGTTTTCTGCTCTTCGATGTCATGGTCCCGATTCCCTCTGGGACCGCCAGGGCCCAGGCTGGGCGGCATGGCACTGTGATCTCCTAGGCCCGCGGCTCCTCCTCCTCCTCCTCCTCCTCCTCCTCCTCCTCCTCCATTCCTTTTCCTTTCTCTTTTTTTTCCTTATAAATAGCTCCCCCCTGTCGCACCCCGAGGCAACTTTTTAGGGCGGGCCGGGCGTTTCGCCTGAGACGTCTTCACCATATCTCACCATCTACGATTGTGAAGCTTAGACATTGGCAACCGTTTGACAAATGGAGGGCGGGTCATTTTCAACATGTGGCCCTCGCCTTGGCGCCGCGCGCATTCGCTTTAAAACTTTGCGCGAGCTGCACGGATACAGGCCGAGTCGTTTTCAACATGCGGCTCTCGCCTTAGCGCCGTGCGCATTCGCTGTAAAATTTTGCGCGAGCTGCACGGATACAGGCCGAGTCGTTTTCAACATGTGGCTCTCGCCTTAGCGCCGTGCACATTCGTTTTAAAACTTTGCACGAGCTTCACGGATTGAGGGCGGTTCCTTTTCAACCTTTGGCTCTCGCCTTAGCACCGCGCGCATTCGTTTAACAAGTTGCCGGGGTTTCACGGATTGAAGGCGGCTCCTTTTCAAAATGTGGCTCTCGCCTTAGCGCCGCGAGCATTCCTGTAAGCATTTGCAAAAGTTTCACGGATTGAGGGCGGCACATTCGCTAAACAAGTTGCAAGAATTTTCCGGGCTCCCATGATCAACGTACCAGATATGGTGTTTTGGAGGGTTCTGGATTATGAGGGCGCTAGAGTTACGGTGATTCGCGGTGTTCTGGCACGATTCAGGATCGTCAAGACGCAACACTCAGGTTGATCCGCGGCGTTACAATCCCGAAAACAGTGTTTTTGCACGTTTCAAGGTCATCAAACGGTTGTCATCCAACGAGGCAGTTCCCTCTGTGGAAATGAACCGTTGTAAGGGCGGGTAAGAGGGAGCTTGGGGGGAGGGTTTATTCCAACATCGTTGATGACTCTTGGGTTTACACAGGTCATCCTCCTCCCCCCACTCCTCCTCCAATTCCTCCTCCTCCTCCACTTCTTCCACCTCTTCCTCCTCCCCCTCGTGGAGGAAACAGCTCGGGGACCAGCTGAGGCCCGAGCCGGGCGGCACGTAGATGCGCGTCCTGCGCCCCGGTGACAACAGCGCCGCGTCCCACTGCATGTACGTCCTGCCGAGGAGGGCGGGTCTGCAGAGGGGATGCCTGCTGGATGTGTGGGAAGAGGAGGAGGAGGAGGAGGAGGAGGAGGAGGAGGAGGAGGAGGAGGAGGAGGAGGAGGAGGAGGAGGGGAGGAGGAGGAATAGGAGGAGGAGAAGGAGGAGGAGGACGAGGAGGAGAAAGAGGAGAAGGAGGAGGAGGAGAAGGAGGAGGAGAAGGAGGAGGGGGGGGAGGAGGAAAAGGAGGAGGAGGAAGAGGAAAAGGACGAGGAGGAGCATGAGGAGGAGGAGGAAGAGGAGGAGAAGGAGGAGGAGGAGGAGACGGAGGAGGTGGGAAAAGGAGGATGACGAGGGGGGAGGGGGAGGACGAGGAGGAGAACGAGGAAGAGGAAGAGGACGAGGAGGACGAGGAGGAGGAGGAGGAGGAGGAGGAGAAACGGGATCAGGATCGGGCTGGTGAAATGATGGCGTTTGCTCGCAACCATCGCGAAGGCTTGAAACTGCGCCGAGCGTGAACCCTAAATGGCGGAGCTCAATTGGCCGCCCACGTTGCAGGCGACCCCCGCTTCCAGAAGGTCGCACCGCCCCTACAGGGGCGCCGCCAACCACGGGCGCGCAGCATAGGGCGCGCCCCCAAGGCAGTACCCTGGGGGCGACGCGTGCCTCCGAAACACACGACTCAGCCGAGATGGCTTGGCGGTTGAGAGAGCGGCACAGGAGACGACTAGCGCCAATGAGGGCACGGGCTGCGCTGGACGCGGATGCTATGGCATCAGGCGTCGGGCGAGCAGCTTGCTTTATCATGTTGTTAAACATGGAAAGCGGGTGGAGCCCGCTGGACTGAACGGAACAGCGGGGGGCCACCCTCTCGCGCAGCACGGTCTGCGGCCGCTGGGCCGAGGGCCCATGCTGCGTGTGCTTTGGGGGGAAGCGAGCTGGGGGCCAGGGGAGGCTCGCGAGGACGGGGCAGGAGAGGCAGTGGGGAAACGAACATGTTGCTTCGGCACAACCGATGCACAACCGAAAACATGCATGCGGTGGGACGTTGCACACCTAACGCTCAGGCTCTTGAAGGTGGGCCGCCTCCAGCTCGGGCAAGCATCCTTAAGCAACTCAGGAAGTGCTTGCCGCGGAAGGCTCAGTCGGCGGCGGCGATGGCGAGATGCTCCAGGCTACGTGGCGCTTCTGTACATGTAGAAGCGCGGGTGAGGCTGCGACCACCCTCTGCACTTTGGGCCCCCTGGGCGCGTCTGCAGCTCGCGCGTCCAGCGCGTCTTTCGTGGCGGCGCTGATCGCTGACACCACGCGGCGCGGGCGGACCGGGCCAGAAGCATGACCGCTCAGCAAAGCATGAGAAAACTGCGCGGTGCAACGCGGCCCCCCGAAACGGCGTCGACTGCAGACCAAACATCCAGCGAGTGCACTGCGCTTTAATTCCGCGCTGCGTCGAGGAAGCGCCCCAGCGACATCCCCCGATCTCCACTGAGAGCGCGAAGGGCCGAACGACTGGCAGAAGCTGCCGCGGTGGCCTGGGCGGGGCGAGGAACAGGCGGCGGGCCCCACCCGGCCATGGCAGCGCAGGTCTACTTTGCCGACAGAACACAGCGTCATGCTGCGCATTTCGCGGGAAACGTCGCGCTCGCGCAGCGCGAATTGAGCGGCGTGTCTGAGAGTGGTGGGCAAGGGTGCGATGCAAATGCGGACAATGGCTCTGCGCTAAGTCCGAAAGATTGCTCCGCGGTCGCCACGTTTGCCCCGGGGCGGGCCATGGGCAAACCACAGAGGCCGACGGCCCTGGGAAAATCCCGAGGCATCTGGCTCGCCACTCAACCGAACCAAACGCCTCAGGACCAGAGATCGGCCAACGGGGACTTGGTTCGAGCAGTATGCGGTGGTCGAAGATGCTGAGTCCCAGAGCGATGCGCTCACGCATTTGCGCGGCTTGAATGAAAGCGGCGCGAGATGCTCGGCCGCCCAAAAAAGCTCAGGAATATTGCGCAGCGCGCCGAAGCCGCGCGTCAGCAGGCCCATGTCGTCGGCGCAGCCGCCAACGTAGCCTATGTTCAAGTCTGGGGCACCGTCGGGATATTCGAGGAAGGAGACAGTGTGGCTGACTCGGTTGCGAGCGCGTCGCGGCGGACGCCGTCGACCTTGACCAACCTGTTCGGGGCGCAGTAGAGCGCGCTGAAGAGGTTGAGGTGGCTCGGCGGGGGGCCAGAGCGCTCGGGGGCGCAGAAGAGCTGAATCAGCTCGGGAGGCGGGAAAGCCGCCGCGAAATCGAAGCTGGCGAACATGGGGAGGCGGCCCCGCGCGTTGGGGGCCACTCCTGCACGGCGCACGTCGGCGCCGATGCGGGCGACGCGCTTCGAAGTTGCGGCCCGCGACGAAGCCCTGCTGCGCTTGGCGCGCGCGTTGTTGGGCGGGGCATTGAGCTGGAAAGTTGCCGCGGCAGCGATGGCCGCGTTGTCTGCGTTTTTGAGCGAGAGCGGGCGCGTGTCGCCGGGCTCTCGGTCAGTCGGGGGCTCGCCCAGCGCGCTGCCCTCTTTCGGCGAGAAGGCAACGTCGGAGTCGTGGAGGTCTCGAACGAAGTGCTGGCCCGAATGGAGAAAGAAGGCTCGGCCCGCGAGGATGGCGAGCGGCGCGCGAAGTGTCGCGCGCGAGGCAGGCCGCGCGCAGTGGGCAGTCGGGCCCAGGCGAGGAAGCGCGGGCCCTGACCAGGAAGTTGCGGCTGGCGGCCCCTGCGAGATCACCGACGTCGAGCGCCTCCCAGACGGCGCGCACTCGTTCATGCATTGCTTGATCTTCGCCACATATAATTCTTAATGGCCGAAGATGGGCTGTCAATGTGAACGGAGAGCGTGACAATATCAGAACTCTCTCTGAGGGCGCGCGCGGGCCCCGTGGGGGCCTTGGGTTTGATGGTCTGGAGGGCCCGCTGTCGCCTCCACGGGGCCCAGAGGAGGGCGCTGCGCAAGGGGGGCCCGACGGACCCTGCGGCCCTGCGGATCTGTTCCAGGGCCATTGGGCCAGCCTGGGTCGAAGGTCGCTGGGCCGCCGGCTCGGCCACGCGGCGAAACCGTCGTCGTCGGCGGGGCCGATGCGGTTGCCCTCGAACTCGACGAGCATGGCGCCGGGCTCGACGGAGGAGTGCAGGCGAGGGGCGAGGCGACGGTCTAGAGGTCGAGCGAGCCGCGGGCGCGCGGCCGCCCGAGAACGCGTGCTACGCGATCTCGCCGTCCTTGAGGCGTCCTGGCGGCCTCGCTCATCAGCTGCCGGCGCATGCGCCAACGGGACTCGATGGGGAGATGGGAAGCCCTGAAAGGCGCCGGCCGCGTCGGCCAGCTGCTGGCACTTGGCGCGGGGCGGGTCGCGGAGGATCGCGTGCGGGATGGCTAGGTCCATCGGAGCGTCCTGGGCTTGCTGGCGGGCGTGAAGGAGATGATCGCGCGGTCGCTGGGGCGCTTGTCAGATGTCAGAGAGGAGGACAAGGTCATGCTCGATCGCGAAGTTGGCCGAGATTTCTTGCGGTGCGTCTGTGGTCAGGCCGATGAAGACGCGGTCGGCGGTCGAGGCCGCGTGGTCGTTCTTGTCGAAGCGCGTCGGCTGGTCGGTCTCGATCTCGAGCGTGCCGCTGAAGAGAAATTCCAGCGCGGCTGTCGCTGATGGGCGCTGTGTCGAGGCCGAGGCGAGCACTTTGCGGTCGCGGTTGGAAGATGTTCTCGGGCGGGGGGCTGGCGGCGTTGAAGCCCCCGCGGCGACGAACAGGCGGGCGCGGTCACCGTCTCGCTGGGCCCCCGTCGCACGTTGGGCCGAGAGAAACCGCCGGATAATTCCTGTCGGCCCATGAGCGATGTAGGCGCCATGCGGCTCGGACCTTGTCGCGGTCAGCCGCGGGCATCTCGCGCGAACGGGAGCGGCGACGGCGCGGTGCTAGTGGGCGCGCCTGCGACGGCGACCGCGGCGCGCGGCCAGGGGCGACTGGCTCGCGCGAGATAGCGGGCGGCTGTCCCGGGCCCAGCTGGGCGGGCTGCGCGCAGGGGGGCCGAGGGGTCAGCGCGGCGACCCCGCCTACGCCCCAGAGCGCGGAGCCGTTCGGGGCCTGGATCTCGGCGAAATAAACCTTTTCGCGCACGGCTGGGCGCCCGCCCGCGCCCGCGGCGGGGCTTCGGAGCAGCGGGCCGCGTTTGATATTATGGCGCAGCGGCGTTCCATGAACTGGGCGAGGGTGGCCTGTCTCTCGCGGCGACGACTCCCTCCTGTGGCGCGCGAGGGCTCTGGCGCCCCATGAAACGAAGCATGCGTGCAGGTGGGCTTCTGATGCGAGCCAGGGGCGCCGCGCGCGGCTAGGAAGGCCACTTTGCCGCCCCCGCGTCCGCAGGGAGCGCGTGAAACTGGCGCGGATGGCTGCCTTGCCGAAGTGCGTGACTTGCGGATGCTCACGCGCTGCGAGGTTCCACTCGGCGATGGTCGGCTCTGGCCCCTTAGCTCGAGACGCGCGATGGGGGCTGCCGCGCAGTGGATATCGCCCTGAGCGCGGCGTGCGCGCCACTGGGGCCCATAGTGACGCTGCTGGAGCAGTTGGTGTAGCTTCCTAGATTGGATCTCCGCGGGGGTCGTCTGCTTGGTGGACTTGTCGAAGCTTATGAAGATGGAGACGCGCTGGCCCGTCGCGTCCGTGGACTCAACCCGCTCTCACTTGCCAGACGCACCTTGCAGGCACGTGAGATAGCCAGGGCACGAGAAATAGCAACGCCCTTGCCGCCCTTGGCTTGGAAGACGAGGCGTCTGGTTGGCGCGCCACCGTGTAATTCCACCATGTCGTCGCGGAGGCCGGCAGCGGCGACCCACTCCTGAAGGTCATTGATGATGCAGTTCAGCGTGGTGAGGCGCTGGAACTCGATGGAACAGAGCGTAGGGTCTGGAACGCGACCCCAGTCGACAAGGCGCGACAGGTCGGCGATCGGGATGTGGGGCTCTGCGAACCCGGGGGTCTCGTGCACTTGGTCGATCTGA